AAAGAAAATTTGACATGACTGGTTTTTTTTTTGTCGACAGTTAAGGACATCGAATGTTGATCACACGGGATGAAAATATTATTTTTTAGGGATATTTAAGTCAATTAAGATAAACTCACATACATATTATATACGCGAGACTCAAATCCAATACTTCTTGATTGAAAGTGAAAACTCAAAACCAAGAGATCAAGATGAGTTGCATGACCCACCAATGCTTAGCTTGGTTGGTGGGAGTGCTCGGTTGGGCACCCCCCATCCCGAGTTCGATTCCCTCGAGCGGCAATCAGCCCTTAAGTGGGTGCTCCAAAGCGCCGACTATGGTTTGTGGCCTGGGTGGCCCATTAGGTCGGCCAGGGTTTATGGACCGTCAAACAAACTCGATGAAGTCGGATGTGGCAGGGAACGCTTCCTCGTCATATAAAAAAAAAAAAATACGACTTGCATGGGACGAAAATATTCCGTCAACTAATGAACCACAGCTTGATATGCCTGACATGTTCTTCAGGAATTCCTAGGCTACATAATTGCAAGCAGATTTTTTATTGGAGGGTCAAAGGAATTAGGTTCAAGACGTACTGGATATCATTAATGAATCTTTCTATTCTTATATCTTGGGGATTTGTCTTCTTAATTTTGAACGATATAATGAGTTATTTTATAGCTTCCTTTATCGAACAATTAATGATAGCATCTCATCTATGACCAATTTTACTTTAATGGAGCTTTGTAAGAAGTCAAATGTTCGGCGAGATAGAACTTCCGAATTTGAAGTACTGAAAGTTCAAAGTGCTCTATTTAAATTTTTATATTGATGTATGGGAGATTGATGGTTAGGAGGCGATGTCATGTCCCATAATCTAAGTTAAAAAAAATTATATTTTTTTATCTTTTTATAGCAATAATCAGAATTATCTAATTTTTTTTAATATAAATACCAGCATAAGTAAATATATTGCTCAAAATAATAATATACATGTATTAATTATTCATAAATTATATACAAAAGTCAAGAGTCATACAAATATAATATAATGTCTGCTCATTCTTGAGCTCAAAAGAATAATTAAAAGATAAATTATTTGTAAAACTTGAATAATCATGCATATGATTGCTTTACACTCCTGAATCTTTTCCCTGGCCTGAAATCAAGCTTATGAAGCCTAGTATATCACTAAAACTCTACTTCTAAACTAAAAGCACGAAAAAAATAATAATATGCATGAATTCATTTAGTTCTTTATTGGAATAATTAATATGATCATAAATCTAAAATAGTACAGTTCGGATGCCGAAATAGTTTGGCTGCAAGCATCATTTTCTTAAACCAACATAGCAAAATTATCCAAACAGTTAGAAAATTGTATAAATCAACAAAGCAAAAGTATCCATAAAAACTATCAGAAATCTATGTCATTGTAATATTATCAAGGAATCGTGCAAGAAAAAAAATAATGCTCAATTATTTTGAATTGGTATCAAATCAGTATCTAAATCACGTGCTCATTAACAATAAATCAGTACAATGAATCAGTAGCAGTAAATATCAGTATCTAATATGCATACTCAATCAATCATATTAAACAAGTTATGAATTCTAGCTTGCGTGGTGTTTTTCTAGTAAATAATCCAATAACAATGACTCAATAACATTGAACTAGTAATAGTTGGCTCTCAGTATCAGAGTTGTCACTCTTGTTCGTCGGCATAATACTTACTACTTACGCACCTAATTAGCAAATCACATAAATCGGTAGAGGATAACAACATAAATTATAATATTTAAAGGGAAACTCATTGGCCCACCATTTTGTATAGTTATAAAACAATCTCTAGCCAACCTCAATAATAAACCAACCTTTCTTGTTCTTACATGAATAATTTATAAAAATAATAATGATCAGCTATTACTTATTCACATGTCGGTATTCATTAACAATGCTTGCATTAATAGTATAATCATAACAAAATGCCCAAATCACTATTCCTATATGATTCATATAAAAAGTAATAACATCACATTTCTTTGATGAAAATATAAAACCAGCCAGTCAAAATGAATAGAATAAATTATACTACAACATATAAAAAGTTATATTGTAGCAACTTCCTACAATCAGAAATATGCAATAAAAATTAATTTGGGAGAAATCAAAAGTAAAAATAAAAAATTTTGAAATAGGAGTATGTTAGAAATCAGATATAATGATCTGAAGAAATTTTGTAAAAGTAACGTAACAAATTGACAGTCAAAAGCTTTGTTTCTCTCTCCTCCTTCTCTTCTCCTCTTTTTCCCTTCAATGATAAGCCAGCTGAAGTGAGGGGAGAGATGGTTGAGTGGAGAGAAAAAAATATATAAAATGTTATTTTAGAGCCCGACGACGCCGTATTGCCCAAGTGATCCAGCATCACAGCATTGCATGCAACACAGCACTACGCCATAGCACTGTCAACAATGCCACCGTGTTTTATTAATTTTTAAAATTCAAGAGAACACAACGCCGGGGCACCCCGCTACTTAGTGCCACAACACTATATCAAGAATCTCAAATTTTCATTTTTTTTTTAATAATAGTTTCAACATTTTCAAGTTGTTACAGGTGATATCGCTAAAAGATTAATTGATCAAGTGTCATGAATAGTTGGAGAACATGGTTACTATAATTTATTAATTTATAGCTATGGGAGATTGATTGTTCTTGTGACGAGCTAGTGCAAGCCTGAGTGAAGATTCATGAAAGGACAAAGGACTCCAAAAATGCTTGAAGTAGAGAAAAGAATGGCGCGCCATCTGAGGTAGGGTCAAAAGCTGAAGCTGCACCCCCAATTCAAGGCATTGAAAGACTTTAAGACCCATCGCTGTTTGTCTTGGTGGTGAAGAGCCGGCTGGCTCAGGTCTCTGGTTCGAATCCCTTGACAAACAGTGAAAGTCTTAAGTGTTGACTCGTGTAAATTGGTATGGTTGCATACTAGGTCGATCGGGGTTTTCACTAGCCTAAGAACAGTACTTCCCCGTCACAAAAAAAAAAAAAAAAAAAAAAAAAAAAAAAAAAAAAAGACTTTAAGAATTCTTGAAAGCATCGGTGTAATGTTTAAGATTGTGCGCATGAGGCAAATAACTATATATTCATAGTGAAGGTGAAGGAATTGGGTAATACTTTGAGGAAGGACTCATTCAAAGCTCTTAGAAGGCCTTCACATGGTGTAATGAAAAATGAAGCTAAAAGCCAAGTGGGAAAAATTATTTCTAATTATGATATGGACTCATTCAAGCTTAGTGTCATGTTTTTATTTATTTTATTTTTTATATGTCATGTGATGTATGATATATATACATGGCGGTTAGGTAAACGGGTTGGAAATGCGAATCCGGATCCGACCCGGCGGGTTACCGGGTTGACACGACCCGCCCTGGGAAAGCTGTAGTCGTGCGGGGTGACAAGCGCAGGGCGGGTGGGGGTCGCGCGGCGGCAGTGCGGTGTCCCGCGCAGGCGGAGTCGCCGGGCAGCCGGGCCGAGGGAGCCGCCGCCGGCGGGAGAACCACGCGAGCACCAGGCGGGCAGCCGCCGAGCAAGAGAGCAGCCTACGCGGGCGTGCTGGCAGGGGGCGGGCAGATCCGCGCGGCAGGCAGTTCAAACAGGTTTCGGGTTGACTCGTTAACCCGTCAGGTAAATCGAACCCTACTCGTTTTTTTCAAACGTTATCCGGGAACTCGAAACCCGACCCGTTTCCTTCGTTTTAGAAACTGGTCGGTCAACCGAAAATTCACTGGTTGGGTTCGGGTTGGATTTTTCGTGGTCGTGTCAAATATTGACACCCCTATATAATTTATATATATAATATTGAGTAAGTCTAATATGTTCTGAATTTAGGATTTCAAATATATTTGAAAAGCGGAATGCTCAAGTAGCTCCTTTGTTCAAGCTCAGTAAACTTTTGATATATTTTTTTCAGATATTTTGAGACATAAATCAAATTAAGTCTTAACTATCTTAAATCGTTTTCCTCCCATTCAACTTTGGCTTGCTTAACTAATTTGGCACGTGCCGTCGTGCCCCCGCTTTCCAGCCATCCTCAGAAGCATCTTCTTGTGAAAATGACGCGACTGCCCTTTGAATTTTCTAAAATTCTACAACCCCCTCACAGGTTCCTCCTTCTCTGCGTCAACGCATAAAATCATAAATGCATGACGATATCATTTTTTTTCTTCTAACGCAATTGATGAGAAAATTTTGCTCCAAATGTTTTATCTCAGTACCTATAAAAATATTATATTAAAATGTTTTAAAATTTAATCTAGAATTTTTATTATAAATTATTTTTAGTTCAGTAATTAAGTATTTTTTTATAATTATGAATCAGATTATTATTTTGTATTCACTATAACATATTCATATGAGAACTATTTTTTAGAAATTTTTATGATGATAAATTATTTTTTACAATTAAAATGTTCTTAAGTAAAATTTTCAATTTTTAAGAATTTATTATTCATAATAACTTTCATTTAGTTACTTTTTACCATAATAGTTTCACAATTATTTTTTACAAAATATTACCAATCATTCATAATAAATCTTATATTGTAAATAAGATGATTTTGATATTAATCATACTAATTAAAGTTTCATTTGAGATGACTTTCTACTGCTTCTTAAAGCAGTTTTTAATTTTTATATTAAAAATTGCTTTAAGAATAGTAATTAAGAAAAACAGTTCCAAACGAAATCTGAAAATTCATTTGAGCTTTATTATTAAAGCAAATTTTTAGTTAATTTTTATATTAATGTAAAAAAACTCACCCATTATATAATATATTTAATAATATATATATATATATATATTCTTTTGAAATGTTTTTCGGCCAAATTATACTTTGATTTAGATATGACTCTGTCTCATTGCCTTAACAGAATTAAATTTTTATCTGCACGCGTTATTTATTTATTATTTTCTCTTAAAATTTGAATAAAAAAATATATTTTAGAAGTTCCTCACAAAATTTTGTTTTCCCAACAGACCTCCACAGCTCCACTATATCTACACATTCAATACGATCAGAGCTTTGTGATTCAAAGTTCAAACACGTAGACGTATCCACCATGAATTCTTCCTCCGTTCCTCTCCCACCTCTCCTCCTCCTCCCAACCATCCTCATCATCTCCCTCCTCCTCTCTCCTCTCGCCGGAGCCCAAAACTCCAACCACTACTCCGAATACATCGGAGCGCTGTTCACAGGCGTTAAGTTCTCCGACGTACCCATAAACTCCGGCGTTGACTTCCACTTCATCCTCTCCTTCGCCATTGACTACACCACCACCACATCTCCTCCTTCTCCCACAAACGGAGATTTCAATGTGTATTGGGACTCTGGCAATCTCTCCCCTGCGGACGTCTCTGCTATAAAACAGGCTCATCCTAACGTCAAAGTGGCTGTCAGCATCGGCGGCGCTACAGTCTCCGGCGATACCGTCTACTTCAGCCCGAGCTCAGCTGACTCGTGGGTCTCCAACGCTGTTTCATCACTAACAAGCATCATCCAGCAATACAACCTTGATGGCATCGACATCGACTATGAGAACTTTCAGGCAAGCAAGCTCTGCTACTTTTATTAATTAATAAGATTTCTGAGAATATATATAAATTCATTCAAATTTATGATTTTCACTCGATTTTTTGATGAAATTCTCATCCTCTTTTCTAAGGACAAAATTTTAAACTAGGTATTATTAAAATTTTAAAAATGTAATTAAGTATGAAAAATAAATAAATTTAAGAATAGACAAAATATGGGCGACTTATGCTGACTCAGACTTGCTGAGTCATGTCTTAATCAACAAACTAACAAACGACTTATTTAAAAAAAATGATACGAGTACATTTTGAAAAATAATTTAAAAATAAATTAAGTGAAAAATATATTAAATAAATATACTTAAAAAATAATTGAAAATAAAAAAATAGAAGAAAAAACAAAAAAAAAAATATAATGTTAATGTAAACTATAATTTCTATATTTTAATAGAGGTTAATAGTTTAAAAATATATATACATCAAAATTTGATAAAAATGAATATTTTTATTTTTTTTGACATTATTCAAAATTTAATTGGTATTTTTAATGGATAGGCGTTATACCGAAAATTAAAGCGACATAAAAAAAAAAATAATGATTCAAAGTTTCTCCTTAAACACAAGCTTCGAAAGTAAATATCATAACTCTATATTTTTGTTGTCTCTATTTTTTATTTATAATTATTTTTCAAGTATATTTATTTAATATATATTTTCATTAATTTTAATTTTAAATTATTTTTCAAAATTTACTATAACAAGTCGCCCTTTTAACGAGCAACTTACAATAGTAAGCAACTGGCACATGACTCATCAAGTCTGAGTCAGCCTAAGTCGCCCGTTTGAAGGGCAATTTTGTCTACTTTTAAATATATTTTTTTCAATACTTAATTAAATTATTAAATTTTTAATAATTCCTAGTTTAAAAATTTTCCCATTTGTTGCAGGCTGACTCCGCCACATTTGCCGATTGCATCGGTCGACTGATCTCAACGTTAAAGACCAACAATGTGATATCCTTCGCCTCCATAGCACCTTTCGACAACAGCGACGTGCAGGGACATTACCAGGCTTTGTGGGCAAGCTACAGCAATGTCATTGACTTCGTCAATTTCCAATTCTACGCCTACAGCTCAGCCACTACTGAGTCACAATTCTTGAGTTACTACGACGCTCAAAGGTCTAACTACGCCGGCGGGCAGGTGCTGGCGAGCTTCACCACCGATGGAAGTGGCGGGCTTTCACCGGCGAATGGCTTCTTTGATGCTTGCCAGACGTTGAAGGGGGAGGGCAAGCTCGCTGGGATATTTGCGTGGACAGCGGACAGCTCCAAGAGCAATGGATTTCAGTATGAGACTGAGGCGCAGAACTTGTTGGCGAGCTAGCTTGTATACAAAGCAGTGAGCGAGGGTCAAGCTTCTTTTAGAATTTGCTCAGGAGTTATATGAGTTTTCTTTATATATTACTGAATATTTATGCGATGTTTTTCTTTGATATGAACTTTGTGTAATATGTCATGATTTGATGAAATTTAAATAACAAATACATTTTAAATGATTAATAAAAATAAAATTTAAATATCATATTCGCTCGACGTGCAGTCATCTTCTTGCACACGTTCACGGAAGTCACAACAGTTTTAGTTTTATGTAGAATCTGATTGTGTCGATCAATTAGGTTGTATTATTATTTTAGACCTCAATATCATTACATAAAAATCGCAACCTCTAGAAGTTGTTCATGTGGAAAATATATGTGACCACTTCTTTGAAGTCTGAAGTTCTGTGGTCGTAGCTTGGTCTGTTGTTGGATTAATTATTCTGTGAGTATGCGTCGTTCCGGATATCAATTAGAATGCGCCACATCACCTCTTGTTTGGTACCGCAACTTGGTACTGGTGACATGATGTATTCTGGTTGGTCTCCATACGACGTTCTATGTCCGATCACCACACAGAATAATTTCTCCCATTGTTGAGGTTCTCGCTCTCTCTACTAAGGAATATAGTTCCAAACACACTTACTTTTTTTTTTCCAAAATTTTTTCCATACGCGCTAACTTCATTAATTTTTAACCTATAATTTGGGCTCAATTAAAAAAAAAAAAAACTTAAAATAAATAGCACTCAAAATCTTCTTATTTATAATTTTTTTAATATATATTTACTCTCATACCACTCAATTCCTGAAGTAATATTAAAAATATTATTTTTTTAAGTTGCACTTAAACATTCCATTAATGATGACTTACCCTGATGTGTCCTCCTCTCATCTTCTTTATTGACTAGGGTTCAAATGTAATGCCACTTATGCCATCGATGACATCCAGGTGAGATTAATGTATACCTACATAAATCCATATAATTAACTCTTATGCACAAAATAGAATTTCCCCCATGGAGCCTGGTTTAGAGACATGTTTGCCCACAGTGAACCTCGCCTTGAGGAGCATGTCCCGGAGCAAGGCTAGGGACTAGCAGGTATTTCTTGCATTGGGGAGCTCGCATTACAAGTGCTCGCCCCCCCCCAAGAAATTAGATCATAGATGCACAAATTCGAAGCAACTTCAACTACAGATTCCACCTCAACAAGCCTCCACTCGAGGAGGTGCATGCTAGCTTGATGAGGACTAGACTTTCCTATTGCTCTTCCCAATTAACGATCATTCATCTTCCGTGAATATCGTTATCTAAATTACACGAGACACATTTATAAAGCCCAAAGTCCAAGCTCCATCAACTATATATGTTTTTCCCTACACCCTAGCTCTTAACAATTTTCATGAGATACTCATCACCACTCAACCAGGACATTCACGATCATAGACTCATCAAGTTTACCCATCATTGAGGGCTCGATCAAGATACCCCCACTCCATGCTCGCCTAATATAGATTACATAAATGTAAATAATACTCATTCTAATAAACAGTGTAGGGCAAACTAAGTAAAACATTATAACATGATATAGCATGTTGAGAGGTATGTTAAGTTATTAGTGTAATACACAACTTGACATGCCATAATGTTATAAGAAGAGAATTTTATTATAAATTTCATTAACTGAATCATGAATTTAGACTCATAATGGGCAAAGCTGTTAGTGGTATGATGAACCCTAGTCAGAAAGGTTATCATCATATTGTATGCAATTACTGTTAGGAAATTTCTATATGTGGGCCAATATATTTTATACATATAAATAAAGAATTATACATTAGACGCTATCTAAAATTAAGCCAATTAAATTTGTGATCTATTTGAGTATTAAATTATTATTTGGCTTATGTGGCATCTCAATTAATTTTGTATGGAATTAATTTGTGCAGAGACCGGATATTTATTTTATTTTTATGATGGGCTGAAATAAAATATTTACACTTAAAGTATATAAGGGTCATGGTCCTCAGTTTAAGCGGTTAAGTTCTCATTTCCCTGATTTCCCATCTTGAGTGAAAAGAAGGGGTCTATCGCTCTCTTGGAGAACGCCGCTCTAAACGTGGAAGATCGAAAACCTTAATTCTGCATTTCAATGGATTCATGTACGCTTCCGAAAATTCTTCTCGATGATTTGACATGTCGTTCGGAGACGATTGAATTGATTTTTGTGTATCCATTAAATCCTAACAATTACATATAGAAGAAGGCCACGAAAAGGTATAGAGATCATCAAACAAATAAGAAATCAACAATAATTTTGGATACTAACACAGAAATCTATCATAAATAACTTCCAGAATGCAGGGTAAGGGGTGAAGATGCATCATTAACTAATCTAGTTGGGGATAGAACTTCCAAATAACTATAACTTTTAATCAAAATAAATTTATAGTACACTCATTATGATATATAAAGATTTGCATAAATCCTTTAAACATGAAATAGATTAAGTTTACAATTTTTTTTTTTTGTTTAAATTTGAGTATTTTAAAATGTTTTATTTACAATTAAAGATCGATATACAAGACAAGGATTGCATTTAATTTAGAGTAAATATTGAACCATGCATCCTAATTTTTAACTTTATTTTATGTGTATGTTTGGTAAATAATGAACTAATAAAGGTCATGATAGCTATAACAAGTTGATCAAATAATTGCAAATAATGTTCAGATCAATAAATATTATAGGGTGATCTTGACTATTGAGAGGTAAGTTATTAATGTTAGCCAGAGTAATGTTCTCAAAAACAAGAAAAAGTTAATGCAACATCCATTAAATTCATAATAACTATAGGCTTTTAACGAGCATGATAAACAATTGTTTGATACCAAACCTAACAAGTTATCAACAACCTATATGAAAAGGCAAAGATAGCACCAACCATATGAGAAGATAGCAACCATTTGGATAACAATAGGGGTGTCAATTTGGGTCAACGGGTCGGGTTCGAGTCGAACCCGAAACTGACCCGACACTGTTCGGGTCAACCCGAACACGACCCGTTTTAAAAACGGGTCAGGTTTCCGGACCCGAACCCGACCCGATTTGAGTCCGGGTCAACCCGATCCGACACGAATGATCCGAAGTTGACCTAAAATTGCTAGTTTTCGGGTCAAAATCGGGTCAATCTTCAATTTTTCGGGTCAAAATCGGGTAAAAAACGGGTCAATCTCAGGTTTCCGGGTCAAATAGGAGTTTTCATGTCAATTTCGGGTTGATGGGTCAACCCGAACCCGACCCATTGCGGGTCCGAGTTGACCATAACCAGGATTTTTCAGGGTCGGGTTCGGGTCGTGTCAAAAATTGATACCCCTAGATAACAATACACATCATTGTTAATTTCTAGATAAGGAGAAGGAATAAGGGTGATATAATCTCAATCAAGTTGGTTGTGGAAAAAAACCTACTAATAGCCTTAGATTGTTGAAGTGGAGAATATTAGATAAATAGTGAAGGGTGGTGATGATGGTCTAGTGACAGTAGCCAAGTAATAGTGGTCTAGTGACGCCTCGTTGGTGACAGTGGACGAGCTATATAAGTTGGGAGATGAGTTTGAATGACAGTGGATGACATTAATGGTAACTGAGCAATTGTGGTCATGTGATGACGATTGAATAATGATCTTCGAGCAACAGAGGTTGGGTGATGATGTTTGCAATTGGTGATTCTTAAGAGTCTAGTGTTAAACATAACTGCAGAATTATTTCGATCTTTTAGCTCTTTTTAAATTCATATTCATATAGAGAACATGGACTATTTATAGTTTTATTGGAGTATCATTTTAATAATTTTAGTCAAAATCTCAAGTTACTCCATAAAAAATTTAGTTTAATTCCCTTGACCATATACAATTCTTCTTGTATTGAATTGCCTTAAAGGTATCACAAAAACACATAAGATTCATAAACAATTTGACAATTCAATTAATATTACAAAATATTCAATTATATTTCAAGCACTTGATTTGTGCTTATTTATAGCCAGATTGAAATAATTTTGACGTCATTATGCTCTTCTCATCGAGGCATTCAGTTCAATTATATAATTATTAAAAATACAATTAAGATGATTTTATATTTAATTTAAAAAACTTTTAATAAATAATATACCAAAATTTATATTCATACAGACAAAAATAATTTATTTATTTCAGTCTTCCATATAAATGCATCATAAAAAAGGTTCGAATTCTAATGCTGGCAGAGTACTCAATCGCTATAATTTTAATATAGTTGCTTTTCTTCCTTACCAAGTCTTTAATGAAAGTCAAGTCAATAGGGCCAAACTTACCACATGAGCTTATCTTTTTTCTCAGCCAACCTTCTATTTGTAAAAAATCCAAGTCTAAGTCTCAAGAAGGAAAATTTTGTAGGCATGGAGTGTGGGCGCCGTTTGGACGCGAATTTTTGTCTCTATTGTACACAAGATATGTACGTATATACAAGAGAGAGAAAATATAAGTGTCTTTATGTGATTGAAATATGAACTAAAAGTTACGTTCGAACTCTGCCTGTAATAATCTCTCTTCAAAAAGGGCTTTGTAATGTTCAATATAAATTGGTGTCAATACCAAGTAAAATTTTTGTACTATTTAATTATATTAAAATTATTTTATATAATATCAATTAAAAAAAAGTCAAGCATTTTTTATTTTTACTGTCGTAGATTTACATTTGTAATGGATGTGGTTGTTACGCATGCTTCTGTTGTTGTGGATGTCAAATATCTATGATAAATGCTTAGCTTGTTGAGTTTTTTGTGCCTCAATTTGATTATGCTTTCTCAAGTTGATATTAGTTTATAGAGCTATGGATTGCTTGTTAGATTTGCAAGGTTTGACCTCGATTAATTGCCGATTTATGTGTTGTTAATATTCACTCAATTTATCTTTATATAGTATTTTATTGATATTTTCAATTTGATAAAAAAATTTGGTTTTTTGGTATAATCCATTTTTTTAATATGTGTCATCCTTTAATAGTGGTTTTAACCCTTGCTAAAAGCACTGCTAAAGCCTTCCTATAGCAGCAGTCGTGAAATCGCTGCTAAAGTCTTTCCAGCGAACGTAAATACAACATATTTGCAAAGGTTCTTAAACCGACGTTAATAAATTAGTAGGTTTTTAAACCCCTGCAATATGTTATAAAATGTGCCGTAAAAACTTGATTTATTGGTAGTGACTTAGCACTTTTATGATCATAGATATCAATAATTGAAAGGAAAAAAATACGTATATTTGTGATATTTTTTATAAAACTTATCCATAAATAACAGAAAAATATTTCATTTGGAGTTGGTGATATAAATTTATATTAGCAGTAAATGATAAATATTAAAACAGAGAATATTTGATTAAAATACAAATTAATGTAATTTTATAAAAAGCAAAAAAATAAATCATTCTCTTATGATATAAAATAAATGTAAAATATCTTCTATTTTAATCAAACTTTATTATTGATTTATTATTTCTTTTATAGTCTCATTAAATATTTATACGTTAGGAACCGAAAAATTTTATATTAGGACATCCTAATTAAAAAATGGTTAGAATGGACTTTAAAGTTTTTAGATCAATGCAATTTTGAGAAATCTTCAACATAATTTAACTAAAAGTTTTCCAATTATGTATATGTAAATATATATAGTTTTTAAATATAATTAAAGGGAAAGTTCTATAAGAAAATTCTCAAGTAAATTACTAAATTGTGTTAGGATTTTTTTATTGTCCGTTAGATTTAATTACTTCAATATTAGTATTATATATAATATCAAAAATTTACACTAATCTTAATAAAATACAATAAATATTAAATTTATCCTAACATTATTTTACTTCATAAATTATCACATAATTTTATTTCATTTAAAGGGCATGAGCAACCTTTAGCTCTTGCTTGCTTTCACCCAACCCTGAAAGCTCCGCTTAATATATATGTATTGAATTCTCAGAGCTTTCTCATTCAAAAGCAAAATCACCATGACCATCTCCTCAACTACCCTCTCCCCTCTCTTCTTCCCAGCCATCCTCATCATGTCCCTCCTCCTCTCTCCTCCCGCCGGAGCCCAAAACTCCAACCACTTCTCCGAGTACATCGGAGCGCAGTTCAAAGACGTCAAGTTCTCCGACGTCCCCATAAACTCCGGCGTTGACTTCCACTTCATCCTCTCCTTCGCTATTGATTACACCACCAACACATCTCCTCCTTCTCCGACAAACGGAGATTTCAGTGTGTTTTGGGACTCTGCCAATCTCTCCCCTGCGGATGTCTCCGCCATAAAGGAAGCTCATCCCAACGTCAAAGTAGCTGTCAGCCTCGGCGGAGCTACGGTCGCCGGCGACACTACTGTTTACTTCAGCCCGAGCTCGGCTGATTCATGGTTATCCAACGCTGTTTCTTCACTGACGAGTATCATCCAGGAATACCATCTTGATGGCATCGACATCGACTATGAGAACTTTCAGGCATGTTCTCACCAACGTATTTGACAATTTTTTTTTCCTTTTAATTAATTTTCCCATCACCTTTTCATTAGATCTAATTAATAACAGAGATGCGCCAAACAAAAGCCAAAATTTAATGAGATCACAGCATCAATGATGGGTTTCAAAATTGGTCAACGGTCTGGGTCCGGTCAACTCGAACCAGATCAGCTTAATAAATGTGTCAAAAAGATAGATCTACCCTTCATTATTCAAATCCGATCCAATAACTTTTTTAATTAAAAATATATTAATAATTATAAATTTTACATTAATTGATAAAAAAATAAGAAGATTATGCAAACAAACAAAAAAATTTAAGAAAATAATTATTAAATGAATTTTTTTTTTCGATCAAAACTAGCATTACAAGTTCACTCGAACCGTAATACATTATTCAATTCTAAGCCGTTCATTAAACAAATCAATCCAAAACTAAATTTTTTTAGCTTAAATCTGGTCAATGCACATGAGTAAAAGGCAAGTCTATTTAGCTAACTTCAATGAATGGTTTAGTTAGTTGAACTGGCTCTGAACAATTCAATTTTGACCAAATTAGCTTGAGAGAATTAAATTTTGATCTAAATTAGTTCTTAAATACTTCTGCCTATTACATAACTATTATTATATTAAAATAATTTTAATATTTATTATATCACGAATTTCAACCGCATAATCTTTATTGAATTAACTGGATCCAATCATCTCTTTCTTTAAGTTCAATATCCGATCTGATTTTCAGGCTGACTCTGCCACATTTTCTGATTGCATCGGCCGACTGATCACAACCCTAAAGTCCAACAATGTGATATCCTTCGCCTCCATAGCGCCGTACGACGACAGCGAGCTGAAGGAACATTACGATACTCTATGGGCTAACTACGGCAGCGCCATTGACTACGTCAACTACCAATTCTACGGCTACAGTTCAGACACGACAGTTTCAGAGTTCTTGAATTACTACGATGCTCAGAGATCTAAGTACGCCGGCGGAGTGGTGCTGGCGAGCTTCATTAGCGATGGTAGCACTGGGCTTTCGCCGGTGAATGGCTTCTTTGATGCTTGCCGGAAGTTGAAGGAGGAGGGGAAGCTCGCCGGGATCTTTGCGTGGTCGGCAGACACCTCCAAGAGCCATGGAGGATTTCAGTATGAGACTGAAGCACAGAACTTGTTGGCAAGCGAAGTTGGTGTAGTATAAATGCTTTTATGTTGATATTAATCAACACAGTTTCAACATTATCTGATACAAGATGTGAAGTTTATTATGAATTTGTACTACTTATGTATTATGTGAACTTTGGGTAATAAATCATGATTTATGAGGCTAAAATTGTCAAGAATAATAAGTTGTTGTGGTTGGGCTATTAAATTATTGCGTCCGGTCACCTGACATGCGGACATCCAATCCGGACACGCCACCTCATCCGGATGCACTGGGCCCCGGTATTTTTGAGTGACGTTGGGCATTTTTATTGGTGTCCGGACGAATCCGGACACATGACACAATAATTTACCTTGTGATTGTGGCCTTATATAATGTGATTAGAGGTGTGGATAAATAATCCTTTCAGTCAAATCTAATATGAAAAATACGGATTCGGATTGACTTGTTTAATAAATAAGTCAGATTTGAGGTGGATTTTCCGATCCATTTATAAAATGATCGGTTTCAGATTAACCCGTGAATTCATTTTTTACTTGAAAATAATATGTTTAATATATTTTTTCATACAATTTTTACCTGTGGATATATTCTCTTTTTTTTTTTAATTAAATATTCTCAATTTTATAGTTACCAAATCATAACAAATTTATTTAACCAAATCGGATTAACGGGGCCTGATTTGACCCATTCGGGTTGCTAGTTAGTCGAGTTTGGTACGGTTTAGTATTTTTGAATTTGTTAAATAGGTCAGATTTGAGTTGATTGTATACAGGCAGGATCAATTTCAAGTCAAACTCGAACTTGACTAGTCAACCCATTTTGACGCCCCTAAATGTGACTGTATTGTGCTGCGCTTAGCTTGATATTTCTCTATAATACCCCAACCACCATCTCCCATCACCCCAATAAAGAAGGTAGAAGTTATTTTTAATGGTGGCACAAAATAAAATTTTAAAAATATCAATAAGTAGATGACGATCGTGCACATTTCTATGCATGTTGTAATTCAATTTCTTTTATATTGCCACTTCTAAAAAAAAATCAGAAATTATCGCATCGCCTTCATCGAAAAAACTTATTTTAATCCTCTCTCCCTATTTATGGGAGATAAAAAGTGGAAGTCTAGGAGTTTAGGGATAATGATTAAAATAGAAAAGAGCGAAAAAGGGAGAAAAGAAGAAAATGAGTAATTTGTCCCGTTCAGTTTTTTTTAATTCTTTATTATAAAAAACTTCTAGCAATTGACTTTCTAAAAAAACTACAATACTATAATTTTTAGGTAATTGTCCTATAACAAAAGTATACACATTGAGTAGTGGTGTTATTATAAGAGATTTTAGTCAATTAACTCCCTAAAAGTTTTTAAATACTATAATCTTTAAGCAATTGCCCCCAACATAATTAAATACATTGTATAGTGCTGTTATTTTTAGGAAACGATAAACTAAATACAAAGAGAAATAGTAAAGAAAATTAAAAAATTTTCTTACAACCAAATTTTGTTTCATGTCAAACCCTTTCAGGGGTTGCTGCCCCCTTGGACCCCTGACACATTTTGTAGAGGTGTTACCTAATTTTTGTTTAAGAATAATTGTCATTATATAAGATGTTGATGATATTTTTAAAATGTATTATGCATTCAAGTATAAATAATTATTAGTCATTAAAATTATATATATATATATATATATATATATACCAGTTCATCTAAGAGTCGTCGTTAGACGATTTTCAGCTTATAGGCTCATTACATGGAAAGCAGAGCCTCGATATCCGAGCTGAAACTTGGAGCTGTCCTTAACTGTAAACGAGCTCGAGACGGCTCGTACGCCGAATGGGCGCGATTTTTAAATTTGCATGATTTTAAATATTTGAAAAAATTAGGCCGGGAATTTTAAATTAAGCGGAGATTTTTAAATTAGATAAAAGTTTAAATATATTATGAATATTTAAACAGTTTACATAAAAAAATTAGGTGATTGTTATTTTTTTAAATATTTTAATTCTAATAAATGAAATAAATTATGTTAAAAATATAAATATTTTTTTCGAGCAGCTCGCGAGCGGCGTTACAGCTCGAGCTCGAGCT